ACGCCCAGCTGCTCGACATCCAGCTACTCGACATCCTTCTGTTCGACGCCCTCCAGCTCGGCATCCCCTGTCGAGGTCGACGTCGGCGCCTCCCTTTGTCGACCACACTCGTCAGGTCGACCACCAGGTCGACCACTTCGAAGGCGGCGCCCAGAAGTCGGTGCCAGTGTAGTGGCCCCCACGCAGGTCGACCACCCCCGTCGACCAGCTCGCCCACTGCTGCAGGTCGGCTACTCCCCTACGTCCGACCACGGAGTCGGCTCCGCCCAAGCGAGGACGGGGCCACACCCAACTCCCGTTGATACTGTTGAGGGTGAAGCAAGCTAAGACCTTGTTGGCGAGTGGTTTGAGGATGTCACAATAGTCAGCGCATGGAGAAAAGATGGTTAGGACCCCTGCCTTCTGAAGTTCTTTTTGAGCCACTAGAGTGTGACGTAGTGAAGGCACGCACATGCTAGTGACTGTGCCGGATGGGAAGGCAAGGCACATGACTGTGGACGACCCCTTGGCAAGGGTGGTGAAGCTTGAATCTGCTCCTAAGAAAGGAATGTCTGTTGGGTATGGTTGAAAGGATCTGAGCATTGTGTGAATGGTCCCACTGTCGAGTGTGAATTTTGTGTACTAAGGTGCTTGTGGTGAGTCGATGTACTACGAAGTTGCTTCATTAACCATGGTAGCACAACTGAACAATAGATTGATGCGCACATCAGCAACATCACTATCATTAGCACTAGCCTGAGCGAGGTCCTGTGCCTTGACTAGGTTGACCTTACAAGGGCGCATCCAGTTCGACGGCTTCTTGTCGACTCTACAAATTTTATACCATTTGTCGTCCTTCTTCTTGAAGCACGTAGCGAGGGGGTGGTTAGTGCCACCACACACTTGTCCCATGTGGTCGCCATACTTGACGACGTGCGTGGAGGGAAACGGTTGCGCTTAAAGGGTGCCGAGGTGACACTTGCTTGAGGCACAGGAGCACGGTGGGCGTAGGCCTTGGCTTGAGCCGTGGTATCTTTCTCGATGGAGAGAGTGGAAGAGACCTTAGCGAAGGTGAGGTCTTCCGTGGAGAGTGTGAGGGGCATTTTCCGTGTGGCTTCAGATGACGAAGTGAGGCCGACAAGGGGGTTGGTTGTTGGGGCTTGTCGTGAGAAGACGATGCTCAGTTCCTTGAGCTCGCCATGGATGGTTTGCACCTTGGCAATATAGTCAGTCATATCCAAAGAATCCTCAAGGTGAACATAAAACATGTTAGGGATGGAAATTACCTTCCCAACCGCCGTCTTATTCATAAAGCTATCTTGGAGATGCTTCCAAATAGAGTTTAAGGTGGGGTACGTGTGGTAGTTGACAAGTTCGGGAGGGGTGGTGCCGATGTAGACGCGAATAATAGCCACACCCATTATGGTACTTGTCAATTGCTTCCTTGTGCGCCCTAGTGTCAGCATCATTCGTAGGTTCTGACGACGCCATGGGGAGAGGGAGCTGCTTTCCCTTGCAGTATTTAAGATGGACGCCCTTAAGGTCCAACCCATGCATCTCATAGCTCAAGAGGTGCTTGTCAACCCTGTAGCTCGACGCCTTGTAGTTGGAGCTAGTGCTGTCGGCTTCAAGACGGGAGGTGTGATGGGGTTAGCGATGGTGGCAGAGGTCGGATTGTCAGAATCCCAGCCACTAACCACTGGGATAAAAGGGCTTGTTTGTGTAGCGGGTGAGTGCGCCCATAACCCCCCAGGCCGACGTGCCTGTAACCCTTCCCTAGGATCATCGGGGATCCCCAGTGGACCTCTGACACCCCCCCGCACTGGGATGTCCAAAGTGCACACACCGGGAATCGAACCCGAGACCTTCGCTCTGATACCATGTCAGAATCCCAGCCACTAACCACTGGGATAAAAGGGCTTGTTTGTGTAGCGGGTGAGTGCGCCCATAACCCCCCAGGCCGACGTGCCTGTAACCCTTCCCTAGGATCATCGGGGATCCCCAGTGGACCTCTGACACGGATTATGATACCATGTCAAATTTGGAGCTTAGAATTGACATGTTGGTAATGAGGTTGACGCTCTCTAAGTACATCCAGAAGTTACAAGGTATGGATGGGGACGGAATTGGGGGGAAATATCCAAGCATTGAGGGTAATCCCAAAAAAATCTCCAACTGGAGGGTTGGAGATTGCTTAAAGATTACATTTGGGCTTGGTTGGGATGTGGGTGTACACTCAACCAAACACAAAGTGCAAACTAGGATATACAAAGTACAAGTACAAAAAGGTGAGATTGAGGGCTAACACTAACACAGTGGCGCAAGAGCAACTTGCAATGCACGCCAAGATCAGAGCCATGCACAGCAATTGCCATGACAAAGTAGATCGGCAAATCAAAGCGCATCTGCACAGCTACGCATATTGGACAGCTGAGACCTTTGACGGTTATTATTGGATAATTGTGCCACCTAAAGCGCGGGAGGCAGAGTCCAGCACCCTCTGCAGCAGGCGAGGAGGTGCAGAGCTAAGGCGTCGAAAACGGCGGGCATGGCGGCGGGGAGTGGGTTGGGGGGTGGGGGCAATGGCGGGGCCGGGAGGGGCGGGCATCAACATGGCAGCAGCGACAGCTGCAATGGAGGTGGACACCAACTTGCATGCCACGCGATACTTTCGTTGCGCACGCAACCTCAAACGCGCGGTCAAACATGTCAGAATGTTATTATTGTCTAGCCTGCAGTGGGGTACTCTATAGCGAGTACAACCCAATTAGGGTTTCCTATATGTATGCCAACTGCTGCTAGTGCAACCTCTCCTTTCTTCATTTCTCTTTCTGCCTGCTAGTTCTGAAATGCTATCAGAGCAGGTCGACCCTCCTGGGTCGATCCTGTGGGTGGGCCCCACCCGATGCTTCCGCTGCTCTACTGCTGTCGCGCGCCCCAGGCGCGCGACCCTTTCTTCCTGCCGCGCACTCGGAATGCGCGGCGTTTTTCATCCCGCCGTGCGCTTGGGGCGTGCGGCGGTTTTCTGCCCAAGCGTTTTTGCCCTTGTATGAAATAAGACATGTATGTCTTATATCCGGGCGCGCATACGGTACTAAAAATTCTATCAATTCTAAAAGCTGTTAATCTCTTATTATCCCAAGTGTGTCAGCGTGGCAAGTGAGTTCGGTGGGAGCCTTTCACATTTTGTGACTGACAATCTCCCCAAGCCATGGTTTCTCACAACAGCGCCGAAATGGTTTATTATACCGTATTCCCCCGGATAAAACACCCGGGGGTATTATGATAAATACCGGGAAAAAATGGGGGGGGGGAGGGGGTCTCCTCAACGGAAAGTCCTACATAATACCCGGGTCTTATTATATAGTACATACTTTTTTAAAGCAGAATCGATATGTTTCAAAATGTGGTGTGTGACTTCACTTCTTGTTTGTTAAACAGTGCCGCAAAACCGAGTATACGAGGATAACGTGACCGCCCACTGGACTCTGCCACATGGCAACTTCCAGTGGGCTAACTATGGACCCTGATTGGCTGGAAACAGAGCCAGCCATGCATAGCGAGAGTTCATGCAACTCCCGAGGCCGGAATCGCGCACGAAGCTGCGTTGTCACTGTACCAGTCACATCCACCCCCCGGGGCTTATATAGGATCACCCAGGGCTCAGGTTATCAGTGTAATTTACCCTTCTACACTGATTACAAGGGTGAAATTTTGGGTCTACACTGATGTGCTGGGGTAATTTTTTTATGAGTTAGTGTTACACTGATCAGTAAGTGTATCGATGTAGGCCACACTGATGCCTTGGGGTAAAGTTTCCCTTAGCGAGGATTACACTGAAGAGCGTACACGGACCCCCACACCCACCCCCCCCCTCCCCCCCCCCTTCCCCACAAACAATCGGTCGAGGGGGAGGGGAGGCGAAATTCTCGCCAATTTCGTAAGTCCTCCCCTTCCCCCCCCGCCCCTCACAAACAATCGATCGAGGGGGAAGGGGAGGCGAAATTGTCGCCAATTTCTTAAGTCCTCCCCTTCCCCCCTGCCCCTCACAAACAATCGATCGAGGGGGAAGGGGAGGCGAAATTGTCGCCAATTTCGTAAGTCCTCCCCTTCCCCCCCGCCCCTCACAAACAATCGATCGAGGGGGCAGGGGACCTGGGAGGCAGATAACTTTCTCGCCACCTGTCATACACACCTAATTTACACATGGTCAGTGCTTGAAATAAAACCACACTGATGATGCAGGGTAAAAATTTCAAAACCTGATGTTACACTGCTCTATCAGTGTAATGGAAAAGTACACACTGCCCATAAGGGTTTTTGAAAAAGCTACACTGCCAATCATGAGTAGGCCAAAACCAAACCTGAGCCCTGGGATCACCCCAAAAGGGGGGGTATAGTACCAACGGGGTCAAATATAACACCCCCCCCGCACAAGCTACCCGGGGGTGTACAATTCGGGGTGGGTGTTTTATCCTGGGGGTATACGGTATATTTCTTTTCTTCCGTTGAGACGAAGTCGCTTGTTACACAATACAAAACAAACAGTACTGTCAAATGTATACGGTTGCTTTAATTTCTTCAATTCCTATATACCCCTCTCCATTCTATTCCATTCCTATCTTCACTCAAACGTCCAAGAGGACCTCAGCCGTGCAAAACTTCTTCTGTGTCCCACATGCCCCCTATGTCCCACATGCCCCCTATGTCCCACATCCCCCCTATGTCCCACATGCCCCCTATGTCCCACATGCCCCTCTGTGTCCCACATGCCCCTCTGTATCCCACATGCCCCCTGTGTCCCACATGCCCCTTGTGTCCCACATGCCCCTCTGTGTCCCACATGCCCCCTGTGTTCCACATGCCCCTCTGTGTCCCACATGCCCCTCTGTGTCCCACATGCCCCTCTGTGTCCCACATGCCCCTCTGTGTCCCACATGTCCCTCTGTGTCCCACATGCCCCTCTGTGTCCCACATGCCCCTCTGTGTCCCACATGCCCCTCTGTGTCCCTCATACGGTACTACTCAATCGAGGAAAGCGCATCGTCCAAACTGTCCTCGCTAATCTGACTCTGATAAAGCATCTTCTCCCGGAGTTCAGAATCCACCTTCATGTAAGCCTTGTTGTGCACGTGCTCCTCTCCACCGCACACCTCAGCACGCATCGCATCCATCTCCTGCGCAATGCGCCCCATGGACGGCCGGTCGGCAGTGAAGGTGGCACAGCAGCGCACCGCCAGGTCTGCCATGCGCTGCAGGGCGTGTGGGGAAACGGGGCCCATGCGCGGATCTGAGATCGCTTCCACTGACCCCTCGCACAGCTTCTCCTGAACCTTTGGGTGTTGGGGTTGAATGGTGAAGCGGGATTGGAAGCGGTGGAAGGACATAAGAGAAGGTAAAGAAAGCACATTTGTAGCGGCTGCTGGGGTTGGGCGGGGAAGGGAGAGAGGGTGATTGGAGGAGGAGGTGGGACAGAGTGGGTGCACTCAAGAGGCAAATGATAGAGATGAAAAGAGAGGGTTAGGGAGAAGGGAGGGAGAGATGAGAATGCAGGAGGAGGAAGACGTGCATACCCAGTCAAGGAAGACGTGCATACCCAGTCAAGGAAGACGTGCATACCCAGTCAAGGAAGACGTGCATACCCAGTCAAGGAAGACGTGCATACCCAGTCAAGGAAGACGTGCATACCCAGTCAAGGAAGACGTGCATACCCAGTCAAGGATGTTCCATGAGCGGCTGTCCGCTTCGAAGGTCACATGCCTGCCCGTGAGCAATACCAGCATCAGAATTCCAAAACTGCCACACGTATGCACATGCGCGCGCACACACACACGCGTAAGCATATGAACACAGACAAATGCATGTACATGGCAAAGAGGTGCAAAGATGCAAGATGGCAAGCAAGCAGATACATCTCGTTCACCAGAGCAGATGAGCTATTTGCGACACATGCAGCGACAAGGCCTGCACCAAACAGCAACAATGACCGCAACACATTCACGTCGTTGTGTGTGCCGGTACCACTGCCAGCGCACACCTGTACACATCAGTGGCAGGAGTGGCCTTCTGCGTGTGAGAATAAGCCGGGTCCACATAGCCCGGTGTGCCCATCACCTGCGTGGCTTGCACGGTGCTGCCCCCCTCCGCTCGCACGAGACCAAAATCCGCCACCTTGGGCTGCTCACAGGGATGGTAGGGCCATGCACGTGGGTGGGTGCGTGCATGGATGGATGGATGGATGGATGGATGGATGGATGGATGGATGGATGGATGGATGGATGGATGGATGGATGGATGGATGGATGGATGGATGGATGGATGGATGGATGGATGGATGGATGGATGGATGGATGGATGGATGGATGGATGGATGGATGGAGGGACAGACGGACGGATGGACGGGCAAAATGCAGGCAATATATTGTTAGTAGCAGACACTGCTACCGGGTCCTGACTATCACCTGCATGTTGGCATCCAGCAGGATGTTGGCGGGCTTGATGTCGCGGTGCACGATGTCAAAGCCATGCAGGTACTCAAACCCGCGCGCTGCTCCCACTATCACGCCCAGCCGCTGCTCCAGTGTCAGGGGTGAGGGCGCATCTGCACAGCCGCACACAGTGCACATGGGAATGGAGGGATGGAACGAGGGCAAGGGGGGCTCTGGCAATGCATGGCATGAGGAACTTTTGTTGTTGTTTCAGAGCCAGGAGTGAGATGCCATCAGGTGTGTGGGGCGAGAGGGGGGAGGAGAGAGGAGGAAAATCGAGCTACTGAGGGAATGGTTTTTTGGAGGGGGAAGGAGAGGAGAGAGAGCAAGGTGCAAACGGAAAAGTGGCAAGAGATGGGTGGAGAAGAGCACAAGAGCGTGGCAAGAGCGACGTTTATTGAGGGAACAAGACGATAGATGAAGAAGGGAACAAGGAGATGGATGAAGAACCAGAGAGAGGCTGCTTGAGTGCCCTCTTCTCAAACCCTGCACATTACTCGCCCCACCTTATACTCCCCTCCCTCTCCCATCCCCCCTCTCCCCACCCCTTCCCCCTCCCTTCCCCTCCCCACCCACCTTTGCTGAGCCACTTGTCGAGGTCCCCATTGGGGATGAACTCGTAGACGAGGATCTGCTCGATGCGCTCCCGCAGGTCCCCACACGTGGCGTAGCCCAGCAGCCGCACCAGGTTGGGGTGGTGCTTCGATGCCATCTCGCTCACCTGCCATGTGAGTGACATGAAGTGAGGAGCTTGTGAGAGGGGCTGCTTCTGTGGTCACAACAGGTGCCACATTTTTCTTGCCCCAACACCAGAGATGGGCTGAAACCGAATGGCCCATCCTTTTGCTTCCAGAACATGACAGCCTACCTACCTACCTATCTACCCACCCCTCTCTGGAAACCTGACAACAATCTATCGCATTCAAGTTAACCCATGGCTGCCCATACATATAGCTGTGTAACTCGCTTGCACCTCTCGCTGGAAGTCGTTGGTGATCACCGTGGCGCGTTTCACAGCCCAGAGCGTGGTGCCATCGACGGGCGACACGCCCTTGAAGACGTCCCCGAAGCCCCCCGACCCCAGCAGGTTGGCCTTCGACCAGTTGTTGGTGGCCTGCTCCATCTCCTTCATCGTATACTCCACACATACGCCCTTCGCCAGTGCTCCTGCACCGTGCACTCAAGTGTTCCATGTGTTATTGCCTGAAGAGAGAACAGCATCTGGCTTCTTAAAATCCAACCAAGAAGCATTCGAGCAAGCCTTATTGAAGAGAGAGAGGTCAGTGAACGGAGAAAGGTCAGTGAAGAGAGAGAGGTCAGTGAAGAGAGAGAGAGGGCTCACAGAAGCGAGAGACCTTGTTCCTCCGGCGGAGGAAGAAGAGGATGGCGAGCAGCAGTACGAGCAGCAGCACCACCACCCCAGAAACGATGCCTATGATTACCCCCGTCGATAAGCTGCCGCTGCCGCTGCTGCCGCTGCTGCTGCTGCTGCCGCTGCCGCTGCCGCTGCCACTGCCGCTGCTGTTGCTGCTGCTTCTGCTGCTGCTGCTGGTTGCTTTTATTTCCATTGCTTCCTGCTGGTAGCTCTGTCTGGGGCTTGGACACTGAGATGCGAGGGACAGGCACAAGGGGAGGGGGGGTTGTGTGCGATGTGCCGTGGTGTGGGAGGGAAGTTACGTCAAACAGACTGTCAATGCATGGAAAGTTATACCTGCACTGCACATAACCAACCATCATGCATGCGCGCTGCTATTTCTGAAACCAACTGCCTGTTGCATAAGTGTAGTGTAGATTACCTGTTACAGCTGTTGGTGGTGCACCCTTGCCTTCTCTCGCTTGTATTGTTCTCTCGTTTCTAATGCCAAAACTCCTCCTCCTCAATCTCACTAGTTTCCTAACATTCCTAAATCCTAGCTCAAGGTTCTAATGATTTCCTCTTACTATATGAGCAAGTTCGGGCTTGGCCCATGCTCACCCATATCAGCACGCACCGTTGCGGTCAGTGCAGAAGCCCGGGGGCGAGCAGGCATGGCAGAAGTCAGGGCACGCGGAACAGAAGGGCGAGGAGGCACTCTGATTCACCACGCACGCTCCCCCCTTCCCACACGTAGGGCCCACAGTTTAACTGAGGGGCAGAAATGATCTGGGGGATGCGAGGAGAGGAGGGGGCAGGCCGTGAGGGATGAGTAGGGGGAGACGGGTAGGGAGGAGGGGGGAGTGGAGAGGACGGGAGTTAGCTGAGAGGAGGATAGTTGAGAGGAAGACAGTTGAGAGAAGGATAGTTGAGAGGAGGACAATTGAGAGCAGGATAGTTGAGAGGAGGATAGCTGAGAGGAAGAGAGAGGTGGAAGGTGGGCACTGAGGAAGGTAAACAGAGGGACACGAGGACTGCTGAGACGAGCTGAAAGAGAAGCGGAGGGCAGCACAAGGAGGAACCGAGTGGGAGCACAAGGAGGAACCGAGTGGGACCACACAGGCACGATTGGACAAAAGGGCAGACAGTGTGGCAAGCAAGGCGTTTTCTGATTGGGGATGTTAGTGCGTGCTAGGAAACACCAGAGCGTGTGGCATTTCCCCTTCGAGGTGATTTTGTTTGACTCAGAAAAAGCCTCGCAATACATGGCATGGCATTACCACTTGGTGTTGAGATATGTCCACAGGCACATGCAACCGGGCAAGCAAGCACAGGGGCTTTCAAGGTCGCAGGCAAATGAACGAGCAAACGAGCAAGCAAATGAGCAAGCAAGCAGGTGAGCAAATTCTATGGGTGAGGGAGTGATCACACAAACCAGCAGCTTTTGGAGCATCTAGTCAGTAAGACAAATGGCAGAACATGCATGCCGCCATGGATATTGTGTGGGGAGGGGAGTGGAGGGAACATAGACCGCTAATACACCACCAATAACATAATTGGCTAGAAATTACGAGTGACTCAAAATAGTTCACTGGACTCTAAAGTTTGAGGAAGAAACACAGACTTCCCGCACGGTGCTGCTGCACATCACAGCAGGGGTACACACAACACCGGAGAGCATAACAGCAGGGGTACACACAGCACAGGAGAGCATAACACAACACAGCACAGCACAACACAGCACACACAGCGCAGAACACACAGCACTGTACAGCACAGCACTTGACACCACCGCGCACCACCGCACAGTATAGCAGCAGGAGCCTTACATCTCAGTAAGGCGTGTGAGGTTACCCAGGGCTGCTGGCAGCGAACCCCCCATTGTTGTGTCATCCAAGAGCCTAGGGGCGAGGAAGGGAGGAAAGAGGGCCGACAGCAGGCTATAAAGGGGAACAAGTGGTGGCTTGGCTTACCCTACTTGTCTCTTGCTTGCCTGCTTGCCTGCTTGCCTGCTGGTCTGCTGGTCTGCTGGTCTGCTGGTCTGCTGGTCTGTGCTTGTGTCTGCTCGTCTGCTTGTCTCTGCCTGTATCTTCTTGTCTGCTTGCCTGTTCTTTTTTTGTGATTGCGGCTTTTGTCTACTTGACCGCTTGTCTGTTTTTCTGTCTGGGAAGACCGTGCCTTGGTGCAACTGCTGGTTCGTTCATGAAACTCAACACGTTGAGGAAGTGTGAGGCCTCACAAGGGTGGTTCAGGTACAACACAAGGGGTTTGAGCTTACAAGCTGCGGAGACTCGTGAGTTGGCCCAGGGATGCGGGAAGGGTGCCTGTGAAGTTAGTGTTGCCGATTTGACTGGAGGTGCAGCGGAAAGGCCGTGGAGAGAAGAATGAAACAACAGCCTCTGGCTTATCGGCGCTAGTGGTGGTGATAGCGTGATGGTGCTGGTGGTGATAGCGTGATGGTGCTGGTGGTGATAGCGTGATGGTGCTGGTGGTGATAGTGTGGTGGTGCTGGTGGTGATAGTGTGGTGGTGCTGGTGGTGATAGTGTGGTGGTGCTGGTGGTGATAGCGTGATGGTGCTGGTGGTGATAGCGTGATGGTGCTGGTGGTGATAGCGTGATGGTGCTGGTGGTGATAGCGTGATGGTGCTGGTGGTGATAGCGTGATGGTGCTGGTGGTGATAGTGTGATGGTGCTGGTGGTGATAGCGTGATGGTGCTGGTGGTGATAGCGTGATGGTGCTGGTGGTGATAGTGTGGTGGTGCTGGTGGTGATAGTGTGGTGGTGCTGGTGGTGATAGTGTGATGGTGCTGGTGGTGATAGTGTGGTGGTGCTGGTGGTGATAGTGTGGTGGTGCTGGTGGTGATAGTGTGATGGTGCTGGTGGTGATAGTGTGGTGGTGCTGGTGGTGATAGTGTGGTGGTGCTGGTGGTGATAGTGTGATGGTGCTGGTGGTGATAGTGTGGTGGTGCTGGTGGTGATAGTGTGGTGGTGCTGGTGGTGATAGTGTGATGGTGCTGGTGGTGATAGTGTGATGGTGCTGGTGGTGATAGTGTGATGGTGCTGGTGGTGATAGTGTGATGGTGCTGGTGGTGATAGTGTGGTGGTGCTGGTGGTGATAGTGTGATAGTGCTGGTGGTGATAGTGTGATGGTGCTGGTGGTGATAGTGTGGTGGGGGGCTGCAGTGATGGTCCTGTAAGTGTGATGCTGTAGTGCTTTTCAACGGCGTGAAAAATGCACAAATAAGGAGCTGATACTCCGCTGTCAGCCATTCAGAAGTCCGCGTGCACGGCAGTGCATGGCAGTGCATGGCAGTGCATGGCAGTGCATGGCAGTGCATGGCAGTGCATGGCAGTGCATGGCAGTGCATGGCAGTGCATGGCAGTGCATGGCAGTGCATGGCAGTGCATGGCAGTGCATGGCAGTGCACAGCAGTGCATGGCAGTGCACGGCAGTGCATGGCAGTGCATGGCAGTGCATGGCAGTGCATGGCAGTGCATGGCAGTGCATGGCAGTGCATGGCAGTGCATGGCAGTGCATGGCAGTGCATGGCAGTGCATGGCAGTGCATGGCAGTGCATGGCAGTGCATGGCAGTGCATGGCAGTGCATGGCAGTGCATGGCAGTGCATGGCAGTGCATGGCAGTGCATGGCAGTGCATGGCAGTGCATGGCAGTGCATGGCAGTGCATGGCAGTGCATGGCAGTGCATGGCAGTGCATGGCAGTGCATGGCAGTGCATGGCAGTGCATGGCAGTGCATGGCAGTGCATGGCAGTGCATGGCAGTGCATGGCAGTGCATGGCAGTGCATGGCAGTGCATGGACGTGCACAACAATGCATGGCAGTGCATGGAAGTGCACAACAATGCATGGCAGTGCATGGAAGTGCATGACGTGGCAGTTGCATGGCAGTTCATGTAAAAGCATATGGTCGTGATGGTCATGATGGTAGTGATGGCAGTGATGGTAGTGATGGCAGTGATGGTAGTGATGGTAGCGATGGTAGCGATGGTAGTGATGGTAGTGATGGTAGTGATGGTAGCGATGGTAGTGATGGCAGTGATGGTAGTGATGGTAGTGATGGCAGTGATGGCAGTGATGGCAGTGATAGTAGTGATGACAGTGATGACAGTGATGGCTGCTGCATGGCTCACAGAGAAGTGAGGCGAGACAGGCGTGAGATGGACACGGGAAAAGAGCCCGAGAGAGCATTGTGATGAAACGCCCTGCATGCAGCAGACGGGTCATGGGCACAGTGACTCACATACATGCATGCATGGATGGATGGATGGATGGATGGATGGATGGATGGATGGATGGATGGATGGATGGATGGATGGATGGATGGATGGATGGATGGATGGATGGATGGATGGATGGATGGATGGATGGATGGATGGATGGATGGATGGATGGATGGATGGATGGATGGATGGATGGATGGATGGATGGATGGATGGATGGATGGATGGATGGATGGATGGATGGATGGATGGATGGATGGATGGTTGGATGGATGGATGGATGGATGGATGGATGGATGGTTGGATGGATGGATGGATGGATGGATGGATGGATGGATGGATGGATGGATGGATGGGTAAATCCAAAGAGGGTGGTGGAGGGTTGTGTGACAACAAGCAACTCGAGCACGAATACTGACAGGTCTTGCAGGGCAGTGAGGGCCGTTAGGGGGTCGATGGGGCCACTCAGACGATTGTACGCAAGATCGCTGTTGAGTTGGGAGAATAAAATGCGTGCGTGAGTGTGTGTGTGTGTGTGTGTGTGTTGTTTCTGTTGTGCGTGTGGATTCATGCATGATGCATGCATGCGTAAGGGAAAGAGAGGAGAGGGGCTGGATCAATCAAGGGACAGACAAAATTGATATGAGAGGCAGACATGGCAGTTCTGTGTTGCTCCAGAAACTATCATGAGTTAAAAGGCAGTGCACCCTTAATCCTTCAGGAGCCCTCACGAACGCTACCGCTGCTGACTTGGCTCAAAAAAACTTTCCCTTGGTAAGAACGGCAAGAACTTTCTCTCTCTCTGCACCCTATATCCATGTGTGTGCTGCGGTGTTGGTACATGTAAGAGAGCAGGGAAAGGCGGGATACAGTGGATGGTATGTCTGGTCCTATGTTGTTGCCAGCCACATTCCTGGTATAGGCAAACCGAAATGAAGAAAGAACAAGGAGAAAAGGAATACATGGAGGGACACACACACCCACCCAAACACACTCTCACACACACATGCATGCGGGTGCGCACGCGTGCACACACACACGCACACACGCACACACACACACACACACACACACACACACACAAAACAGCGGCAGGAAATTATTCGGCACAAGAGAGCAGCGGGGGTCGTATGAACCATGAACTGCAACTGCTTGTCAACATGTTCTGTCCGAGATGGATTGAACATGATGAGGTGTCAAGTACGCATGCTGGGATGACAAAAATGATAGTGTGAGAGTGAGTAATATCAAGCGGCAAGGGTGACAGGTAAATGAGTACTGCGTGATGGTTGAGGGTCTCACAAAGGAGAGTGCTAAGGTGAGGTGGGTGAACTGAAGTGAGGTGAGGTGAGGTGAGACGAGATGATATGAGGTGAGGTGAGACGAGATGAGATGAGGTGAGGTGAAGTGGGGGTCTCACAGGTGTTGGAGGCGAGTGAGATTTACAAGGGCACTAAGGGAGCCTTCAAACGAGTTCTTGAAAATGCTCCTGCGCACACGCACAAGGGAGTTGATTGTTGAGAACCCTCACCAACCAATGCACACAAGGGAGAGCTTTGAAACTCCTTAAGCCTTGCGCAGTGGAAGAGCAAAGGAAGTGGAGAAGAAAGGAGGGAAGAAATGAGAGAAGAAAGGAGGGAAGGAAGGAGAGAAGAAGAGAAGAATTGAGAGACGAGGGAAAGGATAGAAAGGGGAGAAGGAGAGAGGGAAAGGGAGAGATTGAAGGAGAGATAAAAGGAGAAAGGGAATGAGACAAGGGAGAGAGGAGAGAGGAAGGAAAGACAGAAGGAAAGAGCACTCACTTGGGGAATGCTCTGGAGGGAGAGCGCCTCCACTGGAGCTGCCTTACCAGTAGAGTCCCCTACACGTACTCTCCCATACTCGTACACTCCCATGAACTCAGACTCCCCTAGTTGTAGGTTGGCCAGGGGGCAGGGACCATCACTACAAGGACCACTTGAGAGGAGGACGGTGCATGCATACGCACAAGTACTGCAAACCCTTCAAGGGGGTGAACATCGCCAGCGGTGCAGGGCCTATCGAGCATTCATCCACCCTCCTGTGCATTTCCATCTCGCACCCATATCCACCGCAGGCAACACGTCGGCATAGCCAACACAGCCACACACACAGCAGCACAGCAGCACAGGCACACACACAGCAGCACAGCAGCACAGGCACACACACAGCAGCACAGCAGCACAGGCACACACACAGCAGCACAGAAGCACAGGCACACATACAGCAGCACAGAAGCACAGGCACACACGCAGCAGCACAAAAGCACAGGCACAAACACAGGCACACAGCAGCACTGGCACACAGACACAAACAAGGGAGGAAGAACAATGCCGTTGCCAGCATGCACGTGGTGTGGAGCTCATGAAAGGACATATGAGTCGGGTGAACTGTATGAAGGGCGGACCAACTTAACTTAGGGCGACGTCAGCTTGTACAGCTTCTGCACACTAAATTTCGTTTCGTCACAGTGCAAAACGGTCGACCTGCAGAACCGCTTCCCACTGTGTGGAACCGTTTTGAGCCACAATATAAGAAGTGAACATTTGCGAGATATATGTACAACCTGACGTCGCCCGTTGCACCTCAATTTGTAGATTGTTCAGAAGGAGTGTGAGTCGTTGGGGAGGCTGCTGATGGGGCAGGCACACAAGTACTCGTGCAACAGCACAGGCACCACGTTGCGTTCTGAGGCGCCTCAAAACTGCACTCCTGGAACAGTACAGGTACCATGTCGCATGCTAGAACTTGCAGGCAGCTGGCTCCTTTTCGTGCGAGCAACACAAGTCAGCTGGTGCGAGCAACACAAGTCAGCTGGTGCGAGCAACACAAGTCAGCTGGTGCGAGCAACACAAGTCAGCTGGTGCGAGCAACACAAGTCAGCTGGTGCGAGCAACACAAGTCAGCTGGTGCGAGCAACACAAGTCAGCTGGTGCGAGCAACACAAGTCAGCTGGTGCGAGCAACACAAGTCAGCTGGTGCGAGCAACACAAGTCAGCTGGTGCGAGCAACACAAGTCAGCTGGTGCGAGCAACACAGCTGGTGCTGCCTGCCTGCCAGCCAGCTCTTCTCAGGGCACGCCTGCCCCTTGTGATGCACTGCTCGCGTGCGCTGTTTCTCGTTACCACACGTACACCGTATCTTCTCCCTCTCAGTCCGTCTCTCACAGGAATTTCAGGCTGGTGAGGGCGGAGAGCGCCTGCACCTTTCCCAGGCTGTTGCTCGCAAAGTCCCTGCTTGCACGCATGCACGAGCGGAACCACGGGCGTGAGCAAGCAGCACGAGAGCACAGGCCCAGTTGATTCAACACTTCAGTTCTGAGTTTAGTCAGAGATGCAGGAGCGCAGAGGCGGATGTGGGTGCAGTGTAGAGGGAGGAGGAGAGCATGTGCAGAGGGTGCAATATAGAGGGAGGAGGAGATCAGAGGGTGCATGATGGCAAGCGGCCAGGCCAGGAGCACGCGGGCATGCATGAGTGACGGCATTCCAGGGTACGTATAGGAGATGTGTAGGGCGTGTGTGGAGCGTGTGTAGAGCACGTACAGGTACTTGAGTGCTTGAAGGTTGGCAATGCCTGGCGACAGTGGTGCGCTGATAAAATTGCTACTCATGTTCCTGCCACCAACCCCAGCACAGCACAGCACAGCACAGCACCGCACCGCACAGCACAGCACAGCACCGCACAGCACCGCACAACACAGTGTCAGAATAACTGAACGAGGAATGGATGAACTAGCAGGAAGGTGGGTACAAGTATGAAACCCTAAGTTTGTGTACCCTCTAAGGCTAGACCCACTATAGCCTACACAATATAAACATACAATGTTTGACACACCCCCATAGGCGAAGTGGGAGACAACCAGAGGGTCACAAGACCAGTCAAAGCAAAGCAAAGCAAAGCAAAACAGGCTCAGGGTGGATCTCAAGGATACCACACAAATTCCGAGCACAAGCAAGCGGTCACAAGAAGAGTTCACATGCAGTTTGATAATGTAGCAAGACATACAGTGATCACAACCTAGCAAGTGTAAACATGCAGGTATATATATATAGAGATCACAGTACAAACAGAGTCAAGAAGTAAGCAAGTGAGGTCCAGCAGGCACAAGGCCTAGAAGAGTACAGAAACGCTGATGGTCACAAGGCTGAAGCGCCTTGGTGAACACATCAGCAAGGTTGGCCTCAGTGGCCACGTAACGCAAACGTAGCTGACCACGCTGCTGCAGCTCTCGAGCAAGGAAGTACCGCAGGGCAATGTGCTTCGTTCTGTGCTCCAGTCTGTGCTCCTCACACAAGGCAATGGCAGCCTGGTTGTCGACGTACAGCACTGGAGGAGAACGAGGCCGCTCTCCCAGGTCGGTCAGCAGGTAGGTCAGCCAGCGTAGCTCCTGGGCAGCCATGGCTGTGGCGTAGATCTCAGCCTCACAACTGGAGCTGAGAACAGAAGAAGAGCGTGTAGAACGCCAAGAAACTGAGCCGGAGCCAAGGCTGAAGGTGTAACCCTGAGACGACCGCTGAGTAGCCTGGTCGTCCGCCCAAGAAGCGTCTGAGTGTCCAGTAAGTACAACTCGGTCTCGCCCTCCAAGCACTAGCCCCATGCCCGACGTACTGCACAAGTAGCGCAACACCCTCTTAGCGGCATCCATGTGCTCCTTCCTGTGACGGCCAGGAGCGACATAGCGTGCAAGGATGCTAAGAGGGTATGCAAGGTCAGGTCGAGTGCAGGTCATCAGGTACATGAGGCAGCCCACAAGCTCTGGATACGGGCCACTCGGCTCTACGGACTCATCCGAAGGCAGAGCTGAGAGCGAGTGACCGGTAGGCAAAGGAGTGGACTGAGGCGAGGAGTACGTGAAGCGGAAGCGCTGAAGGATCTGCTGCACCATGTGTGACTGAGTCAAGGTGATGGTGCGCCGTGCTCTGTCCCGGGTGATCCGCAAGCCAAGATAGCTTGTCAGTTCACCCAGGTCTGTGCACGTGTGTCTCCTCTGCAGCTCCGACTTCACGTGGGCGAGTGCCGCGGTGTCAGCAGTGGCAAAGACCAAGTCGTCGACGTACACGAGGATGTAGAACGGCGGCAGCGAGGTGTCTGTGCGTAGAAACAGTGACGGGTCAGCAGTAGAGGGAGCGAACCCAAGAGCCGCAAGTGTCGTCCTCAGTGTGTCGTGCCACTCACGCGGTGCCTGGCGGAGACCGTAGACCGGCCGTTAGAGCCTCCACTGGGTACCAGGAGGAACCGACCCAGTGAAGCCAGGAGGGCGGCGTAGCCAGATCTCCTCGTGCAGGCTGCCCTGCAAGAAAGCAGTGCTGAAGTCAAGTGAGTGAAGCTCGTAGTCGCGCTGAGCGGCTATGTGCAGCAGCACCCGAAGAGTGGTCATCTTCGGGGTGGGGGAGAAGGTCTGGAAGAAGTCAACTCCCTCTCGCTGACTGAAGCCTCGAGCCACATAGCGCGCCTTGAAGACAGGAGGAGAACCCGGTGGCCGCTTCACCCTGAAAATCCACATGCCACTGACGATGTTCGCCCCAGGTGGGGGAACCTCGTCGACGTAGGTGCCTGTGGACTTCCAGGAAGCCATCTCTGCGTCCATGGCTGTCTGCCACTGAGAGGAGTAGGGACCCGCCATCGCCTCGGCGTAGGTGCGCGGGGTCGGGATGTCTGGTGCATCTGGGTCTCCCTCAGGGGCAACTAGCATGGACACGAGATGGGGCAAAGCAGCAGCAAAGCACTGGAACTCCTCCTGTCTGTCCTCAAGGACGTCCGTGCCAAGAGCACACACACCCCCGACGGACGGAGGACAGACAGACTCAGACTCGGACTCAGCAACAAGGCTAGTGGCGTAGTCTAGACGACACCGGGCAGCAAAGTCTACCAACTCAGCGACCAGAGCAGACGCAGCAGAGGACTCAAAGGTAGGGTCAGTGACAACAGTAGCGAGAAGACGCGTGACAGTGGGACTGGCAGCACGACGGGAGTCAGACTCCGGGTCAGGAAGAGTAGGAAGAGAGGACGCAGGAGGAGACGGCAGCAGGACACGCTGAGGAGCAGTGGAGGGACGCAGAGTCATGTAGTGAGTGCCAGGGACAGGAGGAGGACGCTCACGTGGGACACGACGGCCAGTGCGAGCAGTACGAACAGGCGACGCAGGACGAGACTCAGGCTCACGACGCTCTGTAAGACCTCCCGTGGGACCAGCGTAAGGAGAGGGAGCAGGGAGAGGCGAGGCAGGCGGTAACTGTGACTGCAGCTGGACAGGCGAAGGACACTCTACGGAGGGAGGAGGACAAGGAGGAGGAGTCTGACCAAGAACCTGCTGAAGGAGCGGTACGAAGTACGGTCGCGGCCGCGCAGCGTCTCCAGAACGAGCAGAGACACCAGCAGCAGGGTCCTCAGTACCCGCAGTAGCTCCAACGTCCGGGTCCTCAGCACCAGCAGCAGCTCCAACGCCCGGGTCCTCAGCACCAGCAGCAGCGCCACCGCCCGGGTCCTCAGCACCAGCAGCAGCTCCAACGCCCGGGTCCTCAGCACCAGCAGCAGCGCCACCGCCCAGGTCCTCAGCACCAGCAGTAGCTCCAACGCCCGGGTCCTCAGTACCAGCAGCAGCGCCACCCCCAGGGTCTGCAGCACCAGGAGCACCACTCCGAAGACTGCAGCGCCGCGCGTACCACTCTCGGATCTGCTGAATGGGGGGGAGCTCCTGGGTAGGAGGGGAAGTACTGGTACGAGCTCCAGCAGCACCTCTCCGGAGGCGGCAGTACTGTAGGTACCTCTCCTGCAGCTGCTGGGAGGAGAGGGCTCCCCCAGGTGGAGCACGCTCAGGCTCAGCACCTCCAGACACAGCACCCCCAGACTCAGCACCTCCAGGCTCAGCACCCCCAGACTCCGCACCCCCAGGCTCAGCACCCCCAGACTCAGCACGGTCAGGCTCAGCACCCCCAGGCTCAGCACCCCCAGACGCAGCACCGCCAGACGCAGCACCTCCAGGCTCAGCACCTCCAGACTCCGCACCCCCAGGCTCAGCACCTCCATGCTCCGCACCCCCAGGGTCCGCACCCCCAGGCTCCGCACCCCCAGGCTCAGCACCCTCAGACTCCTCACGGTCAGGCTCAGCACCCCCAGCAGGACGAGAGTCAACAGCTACCTCGACAGGCTCAACCGGGTCTACCTGGGACACACATGAGGGAGCGGCACCCTGAGGGGGGAGGGGGTCTGGTACCTCAGCACCTGGAGCGAGGAAGAGAGGCGGGGGGGGAGCGGGGCAGTGCGGTAGGGGAAGAGGCGGTAGTAGGGGACGGACTCGTCAAAAGTGACATCCTGAGAGGCCAGGACACGACGCGAGGTGGCGTGGTAGAACTGCCAACCAGGCGCGTCCGGGACAAAGCCAAGGAAGACACAGGGGACAGCTCGACGGGAGAGCTTGTCCGCGGACGTATCGCGAACAAAAGCTCGAGATCCCCAGACCCGAAAACGCGACGCATCGCCAGCCTCTCCCGTCCAACGCAGTGTCGGAGAAGTCTCCGGTAAGGAGACACGGGGCCAGAGGTTGAGCTGATGCGCAGCGTATCGGACTGCAAACGGCCACAGAAAGTGGGGGGCAGCCGCATGAACTAAGGAGGTACGAGCACCCTCCATGACCAAGCCAATGCGGCGCTCAGCAACCCCGTTCTGCTGTGGAGAGGCCGGAAGCGTGTACGACTGCTCAATGCCCTCCTGCTGACAGAAGGTCTCCAAGAGGCCAGAGGAAAACTCCCCACCTCTGTCAGAGTGCAAACGCAGGACAGGGAAGTCGGAGCGGAAACGCTCACTGAGCTGGAGACGAGATCTGCGGATCCAAGGGATCAAGACATCAAGGACCTCACCCTTGGTGCGCAAGGGGAAGACCGTGGTGTAGCGCGAGAAGTCGTCAACAACAATCAGGAAGTACCTCTCCTGACCCTGACCACGGACGCGGGCTGGGCCCCACACGTCCATGTGGAGCGTCTGCAAAGGAGCAGTCGTCGGGGGAAAGGAGGAGGAGTGAGGAGTGGCGCGCTGCCGCCCCTCGACACAGGGAAGACAGGGAGGAGCAGGCGAGGGTGGGAGGGGAGGGAGAACCCTGGGAAGACCAGCAACAAGGTCCCGTTTGTGCATGGCCCGAAGGCGCTGCACAGACGGGTGACCAAGGCGGTGGTGCCAGAGGACAGTCTCATGCGCCAAAGAGCGGCACGAGCAGGGGGCCGACAGCTGGCCTGGCGCAGACGCGGACGCGGACGCAGCTACCTGAGGGGACTCAGTGGTCAGTGTGTACAGGTCCGACCCCGGCTGCCGAGTGAAGGTAGCCAGGTGACGGCCCGTCCGAGCACACGTGCAGTGTGTCACGCGCTCGTAGGCAGGGGTGAACTGGTGAACACCCGCGTCCTGGAGCGCACAACCTGCCACCAAGTTCGTAGAGAACGAGGGGAGGTAGAGACCTGACAGTGTGCCTGACGGGACCGCAGGACAGGGAAGAACAGTGGAGGAGGTCGCAATGACCGGACCCCCAGAGGGGTCAGCGAGGGAGACAGCAACTGGCCGAGCAAGCGGCTCAAGGGCAGTGCGGTCACGAAAGAAACAGCGAGAAGCACCTGAGTCCAGGGTGAAGGTGTGCAGTGCCTCAGTCGACTCAGTACCAGGGGAGACAGACTCACTAGCACCTAAAGCGACAGCCTCACCATCACCTGAGGTGGCAGACACGCGAGTACCGGGAGTGGGAGCCTCACCAGCACCTAGGGCAACAGACGTACTAGCACCTAGAGCGGCAGCCTCACTGACAGAAGCTCCCGAACGATGCACTCCAGAGCGACTACCACTACGGCCACCCCGACAGCCCCAACTAGCGTACCACTCACGCGCACGAAGCACCTGGGGCGAAGGAGGACACGGCAGCTGCACCTGTCCACTACCAGAAGCTCCCGACCGATCCACTCCAGAGCGACTACCACTACGGCCACCCCGACAGCCCCAACTAGCGTACCACTCACGCGCACGAAGCACCTGGGGCGAAGGAGGACACGGCAGCTGCACCTGTCCACTACCAGAAGCTCCCGACCGATCCACTCCAGAGCGACTACCACTACGGCCACCCCGACAGCCCCAACTAGCGTACCACTCACGCGCACGAAGCACCTGGGGCGAAGGAGGACACGGCAGCTGCACCTGTCCACTACCAGAAGCTCCCGACCGACCCACTCCAGAGCGACCACCACTACGGCCACCCCGACAGCCCCGACTAGTGTACCACTCACGCGCACGAAGCTGCTGGGGCGTGAGGGACTCACGCGCACGGCCCTGGAGCTGCATCTGGCCACGCCAGGAGCAGCAGTAGTAGTAGTAGCGGCAGCAGTGGGAGTAGAAAAGGCAGTAGCAGCAGTAGCAGCGGTAGCAGTGCTGGGCAATGCTCACCAGTGGTCGGCGCGGCAGGCGCAAGACGGTGGCGACAGCGGGGCCGCTACAACTGCAGGGCTGGGCCGGGCCGTAGCAGGGAGCTCCGCGGCAGCTGCTGCAGGGCGAGGCCGGGCCGCGACGGCAGCTGCTCCAGGTGCCAGGGGCGGCTGCTGCAGTGGCGGCGGCTCCAGGGGCCAGGGGCGGCTGCTGCAGCTGTGGTTGCTCCAGGGGCCAGGGGCAGCTGCTGCAGGTGCGGGCTGCTCCAGGGGCGGCTGCTGCAGGTACGTGCTGCTCCAGAGGGGGCCGCTGCAGTGGCAGGCGGCTCCAGGGGCGGCTGCTGCAGTGGCGAGCGGCTCCAGGGGCTGCTGCTGCAGTGGCGGGCGGCTCCAGGGGCTGCTACTGCAGTGGCGGGCGGCTCCAGGGGCTGCTGCTGCAGTGGCGGCTGCTCCAGGGGCTGCTGCTGCAGTGGCGGCTGCTCCAGGGGCGAGAGGCGGATTAGGTCAGGGCGACGCGGCGAGAAGGGCGACGCGGCGGGCAGGTGGCGACGCGGCGGGCAGGTGGCGACGCGGCGGGCAGGTGGCGACGCCGCGGGCAGGGCGACGCGGCGGGCAGGTGGCGACGCCGCGGGCAGGTCGACGCGGCGGGCAGGTGGCGACGCCGCGGGCAGGGCGACGCGGCGGGCAGGGGACGACGCCGCGGGCAGGCGACGACGTCGCGGGCAGGCGACGACGCCGCGGGCAGGCGACGACGCCGCAGGCAGGCGACGACGCCGCGAGCAGGCGACGACACCACGAGCAGGCGACGACGCCGCGGGCAGGCGCCGATGTCGCGGGCAGGCGACGACGCCGCGGGCAGGCGACGACGTCGCGGGCAGGCGACGACGCCGCGGGCAGGCGACGGCGCCGCGGGCAGGCGACGACGCCGCGGACAGGGGCTACGTCGCGGGCAGGCGACGACGCCGCGGGGAGGCGGTGACGCCACGGGCAGGGCGACGCGGCGGGCGGCGAGAGCCTGCAGGGGCGGCGTGCGGTCGTGCAGAGGCTGCGCACTGGCCTGACGGACCTGCAGGGGCAGCTCGAGAGTGCACGAGGGCGCACGAGGGCGTACGAGGGCGCACGAGGGCGCACGAGGGCGCACGAAGGCGCACTAGCAGAGAAAGGCGCACGAGGGCGCACGAGGGCGCACGTAAGGTAGAGCGCACAAGGGCGCAGAGGGGGAGGCGCTAACGCAGCACTCCGACAGTAGGGCGCACTAAGGCGCTAGGAAGTAGTTAGTAGAGGTGGGCCCGAAAAAAAAACTTAGGTCCTAGCGAAGGACCTGCTCTGAAACCATGTCAGAATAACTGAACGAGGAATGGATGAACTAGCAGGAAGGTGGGTACAAGTATGAAACCCTAAGTTTGTGTACCCTCTAAGGCTAGACCCACTATAGCCTACACAATATAAACATACAATGTTTGACATACAGCACAGCACAGCACAGCACAGAACACGGGGCACTGCCTATGGATGCAGCACATGACCTTTACTCCAGCATCCGCCTATGCTCGGCAGGTGAATTTAACAGCATGAGCGACTACAGCGTGGTAGATGCATCAATAACTCTGTGCCGATTAAGTCACCTGAACTGAGCCACATAAGTCACATGAACTAATCCACATAAGTCACCTGAACTGATCCACATAAGTCACCTGAACTGATCCACATAAGTCACCTGAACTGATCTACATAAGTCACCTGAACTGATCCACATAAGTCACCTGAACTGATCCACATAAGTCACCTGAACTGAGCCACATAAGTCACCTAAACTGATCCACATAAGTCACCTGAACTGAGCCACATAAGTCACCTGAACTGATATACATAAGTCACCTGAACTGATCCACATAAGTCACCTGAACTGATCCACATAAGTCACCTGAACTGTGTGCCATACATGCAAGCTGTTCAGTTATGGCATGGGCCAACTTATGTTCAACGGTTCGCCTTATATATCCCCTTTCTCACACTCTACGCATAATGTCGGCTTGCCCCTTTTCCCCTACTCACCCATCCCCACATGCCCTCTGAGGTTTTCTGCTGAGAGGTGTGCGGGTGGCTGCTTACTGGTGTGCGAGGGCAGGAAAGAAAAAAACAATTTTCTAGGTTGGCTTGCAAGTCATGCCAAAAGGTCATGTGGGCGCAGCGCAGTGCAGGAATGGTCGTGTGGGTGCAGTGCAGGGGGGTTGTGTGGGTGCAGTGCAGGGGGGTTGTGTGGGTGCAGTGCAGGGGGGTTGTGTGGGTGCAGTGCAGGGGGGTTGTGTGGGTGCAGTGCAGGGGGGTTGTGTGGGTGCAGTGCAGGGGGGTTGTGTGGGCGCAGTGCAGGAGGGGCGCTTACAGGTAGGTGAGAGCAGTGAGGGTCATGATGGCATCGATGGGTTTCTTTATCATGTTGACGCTCAGGTCTCTGCCACAGGAGCACGCAGCGCGTGTGTGGGTGGGTGGGTGGGTGGGTAGGGATGTGTGTGTGCATGCATGCATGATGCATGCACAGGCATTCATTCATGCACGCAGGCTTGTGTGAAATGCTCTTTGGATTAAATTCTTCTTAATATTGCATGCAAAGAACACAAGATCCCTTCCAAAAAAAAAAAAAAATGCTGCAAGGAAAATGAAAAGAGCATTGTGGGTGTGTCCATGCATACAGTGACTTTAAAAGAACGAGCTTGCTGAACGACTCTGGAATAGAGCCGGTGAGAGAGTTGCCTACCATGCTCCTGCACATGCACTCACACATACACGATACGACAGCCAGCAACACAATCATTTATGCTGACAAGGGGATAAGCATGCTTCTTGGAATCAGCAACAGCAGCATCAACAGCAGCAGCAGCAGCAGCAGCAGCACAATACAGCTTCCGATCAACTACTGTAGCATGGCGATAAGCATGCTTTTGAGAATAATTGAGAGAAGCTTCATATGGCACTTCCCTGCCTTTGACCATGGCCCATCAAGTGTGCCGGTATTGGGAAAGGCATGTGCGTGGTAATGAGCATGAAAAGGGGGCTTAGAGATGCGCATGTGCATAGGCATGGGGCATAGGCATGGACATGGTCATGGGCATGGACATGGGCATGGGCATGGCATGACCACGGCACTCACAGGAGGGGAGGATGCAGAGAGTTCCAAGCACCAGCAGGAGGGAGGGGGGTCACTCACAGGTAGGTGAGGGTTGTGAGGTTGCCTATGGACGCAGGTATGGGGGCCAGTGAGTCATACGATACTCCGTTCAGCTTGCTGCCCCTCGCTCCAGCATGGATGGTTGGTTGAGGTGGGGTAAAGGAGAAGAACAACACGAGGTAACGTTGAGAGCGGGTGAGGGAAATGGAGGGCAAGAGTTTTCAGAGAGGGCGGTGCATGACAAGCGATAATCTGGCAATAGCATAACAGTGACTTGAAGCTTACAGGATGTTGACTTGGTTGGCACGAACATGGGGTGGAGTGGGCATTGGGCTTGGCGCTTACATGGAGACGACTTGGCCCTGGTTGTTGCAGCGGAGGATATCCGGGGCGTTCTGGCATGTGCGCGATGCAAGAGTGTCGTTGAGCCATTGTGATGCCAACACCCCCATCACCTCGCCTGCACCCATGCAGGGGGTGGCATGGCACGGCACGGAACGGCACGGAAATGAACGGAGCGGCACGGCACGGCACGTTAGTATCCAACATGAGAAAAGATTGGGTCTTAGGTCAGCCCGACCCAATCAGGCCGTTTGCTCATGTCTACGGGCATGGCATGGCATAGCAGAACCGAAATGCACATCACACTCGCACACAAGAACATGCATGCACGCACAGGCACGCGCACTCGGGCGAGCGCACGCGCACACACACACACACCCCCCTCCCCCCACACACACACACACACCCACACACACACACACACACACACACACCCACACACACACACACACACACACACACCCACACACACACACACACACACACACACCCACACACACACACACACACACACACCCACACACACACACACACACACACACATGCGCGCGCGCGCACGCGCACACACACACACACACACACACATACACGCCCACTCGTCCACACACACCCAACCATACCCACGCTGCAGACTACAGCACACCACAGCACAGTACCGCACGAACAGCGCATCAGTATCACAGCACGGTACCTAGGATGTCCTTTTGCGGCGAGACAAAGCGACTGCCAGCGACGAGAGCAGCGAGCAGCATCGCCGCCACGAGCGCGCTTCCGCGCGACCATGCCATCGCGACTGCCATCCCAAAAGTGATGGCTCATCCAAGCTACCTTTGAAGCTACTGCTAGCTAGTTACTGTGTGGGAGTTGTTGCGAAATCTCCGTTTTAGTTACTGGGAAACATACGTGCGTGGATGGTGCTCTCCGAATTTCCGTTAGTAGTGACTAACGTCGATGGATCATTGCGGGAGCAGCGAAATCCCCGACTGCGGGTTGAGGATTTTCTGATTGCACAGGACAGGCGGCAGTAACCCTAAGATTGCGAACCTAGTTGTTTCCGTCCACCCGTCCTCAAGAGCAGGGTAAATTTCTTCTCAATACCAACCCTAAATTTCTGTCCTCACACTCCCACGTCCACGCTTCCCCACCACAGCTAGTGTTTCTCTACAACCGTAGGTTCACTTTTAGATCAAAAAGCACCACGGCAGCGGCGACCCCCCTTAACGGCCGCGGCCTCGTACCGGGTCTCAGGGAACGCAGCGGGTGGTAGCAGGCGGTGACAGCGAGTCGTAGTAGCTGCGATCGGCGCGGATGGCGGAGGAGGAGGAGCTGGCGATGGGGTCGGACGACGACGGCGACGCGGAGAGCCCCGACGAGATTCTCGCCAAGTTCGACGACCGATCGCAGCGCGTCGCCCACTTCCTGTCCGAGTGAGCCGCTCCTTGCGCGCCTTTTCCGCGTTGCCTGCCGTTTTTGCTGCCTCCATTCGCCTCTCCTGCTCGCCCCGTTCGCACATCACACGCCCGTCTCGCCCGTCTCGCTCCCGCCATTCGCCCCTCCCGCGCTCCCTGCATTCGCCGCGCCCCCTCCATTCGTACCTCTCTCTCCTTGCATTCACCCTTCCCACTCCCCCCATTCATCCCTTCTTCTCGCTCCGTTCGCTCCTCCCTCTCTCCCTGTACTCGGCCATCTCACTCTCTCCATTCACTTCTCTCGCTCCCTGCACTCTCCCGTTTTGCTTCCTGCATGCTTTCGCCTCTCTCTGGCTCCATCCGCGCCCCTCTCTCCCTCAAGTCGGCCCTTCCACGCTCCCTCTGTTCGCCCCTCTCTCTCCCTGCATTCGCCCTGCGTGCGAGATGCACCTGACTGCACCCCCAGTGACCGTAATGGTGCGCGCGTTCCTCCACCCGTGTCCCCTTCTTCCTCCCCCGTTTTTCCTTCTTCCCACCCCCTCGGGTGCACAAGTCGGTCCTGCTGTGCTGGGGTCGAGTTTCAGAAGCGATCAACGCGCCTGTGAACGTGATCGTGTACTTGTCCACCCACCCCTCTCCCCCACCCCCTTTCCCCCGCCCCCCTTCCCCCTATCCCCCCCTCACCCCCTCCTCCTCCCTGGTGCGCGGGGCGTGCCCTGCAGGGGTCGAGTATCGGAGGCGCTCAAGGTGGCTGTGGGCGACCCGCCCATCGCCACTCCCTCTTACCTCGCTGCCTTCCCCTCCCTTTTCCCTCCCCCTTCCTTCCCTCTCTTCCTCCTCCCCGCATGCATGGGCTCTGCAGGGGTCGAGTCCCGGAGGCACTCAAGGCGGCTGTGAGCGACCCGCCCATCGCCACTCCCTCTAACCGCGCTGCCTCCCCCTACCTTTTCCTTCAACCTCCCTTTTCCCTCCCCCTCCCTTTTCCCTCCCCCTCCCTTTTCCCTCCCCCTCCTCCCCGCGTGCATGTGCCCGGCAGGGGTCGAGTCCCGGAGGCGCTCAAGGTGGCTGTGGGCGACCCGCCCATCGCCACGCGCGACCAGAAATGCAAGGTGCGGTGGGCGCAAGGTGCGGTGGGCGCAAGGTGGGGGGAGAAGGTGTGGTGGGTGGGTGGATCTGGGCTGAGTGCTCGGATACACGTTTAGGTGGAACTTATGTTCAGGAGACTCAGTGTGATGTGTGCATATGAAAAACACAACACGTGTACCATCCTTGCAATATTCCCGGGCAGCCCGCAGGGGTTGAGGGAGGGGGGGAGGGAAAGAGAGTGTGGTGGGGATAGGGGTTTCATTTATTACCCTTTCCCCCCTTCCTTCCTACATGTTTTTATTTGCTTAGCCTGCCCCGCCCCCTCTGAATCTCAAAGAGCATGGCAGGCACATTCCTTAGCATGTTGGCACATTCCTTAGCATGTTGGCACATTCCTTAGCATGTTGGCACATTCCTTAGCATGTTGGCACATTCCTTAGCATGTTGGCACATTCCTTAGCATGTTGGCACATTCCTTAGCATGTTGGCACATTCCTTAGCATGATGGCACACATTCATCCCAACGTGTTCCCTCAGCGCAGCTGAATGTCAACTCTCGTTGACTCGTTCACACATTCCCTTAATTGCGTGCCACTGCGTGCTGTACCGTGCCACTGCGTGCTGTGCCACAGCATGCTGTGCCACTGCGTGCGCTGCTGTGCTGGGGGGGGCGGACAGGACGCCAACTGGGAGGTGGTGCAGCGGGCGCTAGTGGCGGTGGGGGACGTGGATGGGGCCATCGCAGGGCTCAAGTCCGAGGGGTGTGACACACTCATGCGGTGAGTGCTATGTGGTACGGGATATGCATGCTGTGCCCCTTCACATTGCTGTGCCCCTTCACATTGCTGTGCCCCTTCACATTGCTGTGCCCCTTCACATTGCTGTGCCCCTTCACATTGCTGTGCCCCTTCACATTGCTGTGCCCCTTCACATTGCTGTGCCCCTTCACATTGCTGTGCCCCTTCACATTGCTGTGCCCCTTCACATTGCTGTGCCCCTTCACATTGCTGTGCCCCTTCACATTGCTGTGCCCCTTCACATTGCTGTGCCCCTTCACATTGCTGTGCCCCTTCACATTGCTGTGCCCCTTCACATTGCTGTGCCCCTTCACATTGCTGTGCCCCTTCACATTGCTGTGCCCCTTCACATTGCTGTGCCCCTTCACATTGCTGTGCCCCTTCACATTGCTGTGCCCCTTCACATTGCTGTGCCCCTTCACATTGCTGTGCCCCTTCACATTGCTGTGCCCCTTCACATTGCTGTGCCCCTTCACATTGCTGTGCCCCTTCACATTGCTGTGCCCCTTCACATTGCTGGAAGGCATCGCTGTGTCCCCTTCACCCTGCTGTGTCCCCTTCACCCTGCTGTGTCCCCTTCACCCTGCTGTGTCCCCTTCACCCTGCTGTGTCCCCTTCACCCCACTGTGCTCTTCCCCTTCACCCCGCCGTGCCCCCTTCACCCCACTGTGCTCTTCCCCTTCACCCCGCCGTGCCCCCTTCACCCCACTGTGTCGCTCCTCCATACTCACATGGCCCCCCTTATCGCCTTGCCCCTGCAGGTACCTTAAACGCGCACTGAGGACGAGGTATGACTCGCTGTTTGCCGCTTCAACCTACCGTGCCCCTTCACCCCACTGCGCCTCTTCACCCCACCCCGCCCCTTCACCCCACTGCGCCGCTTCACCCCAATGCACCCCTTCACCCCTGCAGGTACCTGTACCGGGCACTGAGAACAGGGGATGCAGCGCTGTGTGCACGGGCGCTGCGGGTGCACGAGAAGCTGACGGAGAAGGCGGGGCTGGGCTGCATCATGCGCGTCATGGCTGACCGCAAGCACACCGTCTAGTCTGGTGTACTGTACTGTACACTGCGTCCTCTCTCTGTGTGTCTATAATAGATGCTATTGTTTTGTACGGTGTTCGTGGAGGAGGTTCTCTTATACATCGTACAGCCAAGTGAAGTGTCAAGCCTTAGCTGTGCTGCAATTACCGTACTATGAAGGGACAGGTCCCCATCATACCGTCATGCCCCAGATATACACCCAGGCCTCAGATAAACCCATGGGCTTATAATCGTACTGGTGCGCTTATAGGCAGGGGCCGATTATAAGCCCACCCTAAATTTGTGTCATCTTCGCATAAGCGCACCTAATTAATTTTTGCTCAAATCTGTGTTTTTTCTAATGAGTTCGCCACTAACGCGTCAGGAGCAATCGTCGCTGACGTGCCTGGCTATATGTTATCATATACCGGTAGCATAGGTCTCACGTTCTACACATGTTGATTCAAACAGCAATTATTGCAATGGCAAATGGTATGGTTGTCATGCTTATGTATATATCAATCCATACATGCTCCTGGCAGGTCTTTTTTTATCAGTGTAATTTACTCTGTTTCTCTGAAAATCAGAGTGGTTTTTAGGGGGGCACTCTGTCCCCGCTGGGTAAATTTTTTAAGAGTTACTTGTTCTCTGATCAGCCAGGGTTTTTGTGTAATTTCACTCTGGAGCGCCAGTGTTCCTTTTTCGGATAGTGAGTTTACTTAGAACGGGGGATACATGTACACCCCCCGACCCCCCACGTTCCCCCTTATCCCCTCGATGCCGGTTTGGACCGGAGCGCAGGGGATATCAGTCGTGTTTCGCCCATGTGTTGGCACAACCTGAGGCGCCGATTGGCCGGAATGGCATATTTCGTGCCAGCGCACTCAACTGGCCACCTAGTTGATACAGCGCTGGCTTTGCGTACACCATCAGCAATGAACATCTCCCACTTTCGGGCATGATACGGCAGCTTCCTGTGGTGCACTGATTTCGTGCGCGGCGCGCACGTCCACACCTGTTGCTCGGCTGGCAGACGGGGTCACCACCAAACCCCATCCTTTCTGAGCCATTATGTTTCACCCTCCAGCACTGCTCTTCAACGTTCCAGTCTAGCAAGTGTTCAGAGGGCTTCTCCAGCCACAGCCACGCCTCTGTAAGCTTTATTTTTGCCGTCAGAATCATGGACACTAGCGACGCCGAGGGAGACGCGGCTGATCCCGACGACAGGCCGACATGTAGCACCCCCCCTGCGACTGGGCTTCAGTTTCTCCGCGCTGTGCATGCAGATCACGATCGCGACGAAGAGGAGCTGGGCGATGGCGGTACCGAGTGGATGCGTCGTTGCACCTCGCAAGGACGGTGGCGGCAGGCAAGACGTGGATGGCGATTGGCGTCCTCCGCGCCCGACGAATGACGCTGCTGAGTCAGACGGTGTTGAGGAGTGGATCGCCTCGCCGCGGAACGAGGTTGCTGCAGAGCCAGCTGAAACGGTTGCAACGTAGGTTGTCGATGCGGCCACTCCTGAGTCATCCAGTTCAGTCGCTGTGAAGAAGCGCCGATTCACACAGCAGGTTCTGCAATGGGGAACACCGCCTCCGAAGCCCGTCGCTCCACCTCCCCGTGCTGCCCCACCCCCCATTCGTCCCCTTACAGACGAGGAGAAGAAGGAGAAGGCGTAGCTGAAGGCGCAGAAGAGCTACACGTCTGACTGGCTGCCGAAGTTTGACTGGCTCATTCTGGACAAGACGCCAGAGGGTGACCCGTGCCTGCGCTGCAGTGTCTGCATGGAGCACGGGAAGGACAACGCGAGGTACGGTCGCAATGGCGCTGGCGGTCGTGATCTTTAGATCGGGTCGATGCGGTGGCACGAGAACAGCGTGAAGCACGAGGACGCCATGAACAAGCAGGCTGTGCAGAAGATCGTTGACCAGAAGAAGATAGAAGACTTCGCGAAAGGAGATCCGGAAGGCTGTCGCGTCGCGGTACTCATGCGCGCCATGCGATTTGTGTGCCGTACCGACACACCCATCCACATGTACCCACAGATCGTGCAGCTGCTCGCAGAGGAGGGGGTCGCCCACATTCCGCGACAAAGCTATGGAGTGTACATCACTCAGTGAGTTGCTGTTGACTGTATTGCATTCGAAGCAACCGTTTTTCTTAAATGAGGCTAATGCGTTGTGCTATGTGAATGCGCAGGTACGGTTTCTCCGAGATGGCCAAAGCTCTCACCAGGGAGCAATTGAGCGTCCTCCACGCCGCGCCCTTCATCGGCCTCATGTGCGACGAGAGTACCGATCGCGCCCGTGGCAAACACATGATTGTGTTTGTCACGTTCCTCGGGAGACGACGTGAAGCCGGTCCTTGACAAGATCAAGGACACCTATGCGAGGATGGCAGCGGCGGGCAGCAAGGTGTCGGAGATGCAGCAGTGCACCAAGATCATCTCGGTGCTTGACAATTCGTGGGACAACCTCATCCCCACCCTCAACGTTCAGCAGGACAAGTGGACGCCTGAATGGCTGCGGCAGGAGATCCTGCAGGAGGACTTCCGCAGGTGCCACACGGGAGGTGGTGCTGCCAACAAGACTGCTGAGGGGTACGGAGCTGCAGGAGGCAGCAGAGGAAGAGGGGGAGGGAGAGGCCGAGGCCGTGGGAGAGGCTTTGGCAGAGGAAGAGGCCGAGGTGACTACAACGAGGGGCATGGGAGCTCTGGTGGCAGGGGGAGCACCCGAATGGAGGGTGCGTGCTGGTACTGCAAGAAGGCTGGACACCCGTGGTTCAAGTGTTTCAGCCGGCCTGAGGGATGGGCGCCTCCAGGCATGAAGCCGCCAAGTGGTGAACGTGCACGAGGTGGCGCAGTGCAAGGTGCAGGTGCACAAGGTGATGGTGCACAAGGTAAAGCTGACCCTGGGCTGTTCCTCATGGTTGAGGAAGTGAAAGGGAGTGAGGATGATGTGGGTTCGGTTGGGAAGGTTGTGATGCACCCCCTCACTCACTGGGTGATCGACTCAGGCTGCACGAGTCACATGACTCCGCGGGCAGATTTGCTCGATGAGGTGAAACCCCCTGGGAAGATCAAGTTTGTGGCTGCCGCTTCAGGTGCTTTGCTCCCTGTGATTGGTGTTGGGAATGCTAAGGTGATGGGAGCCAATGGGGGACTTGTGGGGCTTGGGAATGTCCTACTTGTTGAAGGTTTATCCGCTAACCTCCTCTCTGTGCGCCGGCTGCAGAAAAGCAAGGCCAAAGTTACGTTCGGCCCAACCAGCTGCCGTGCGAAGCTTGGGAAGTTGCTGCTGTGGGACTTGGAGGTGAAGAGCAGCTGCATCAAGGACCTGTGGCAGCTGCCCATCATCCCTTGGAATGGGAAACCACCAGCAACGGCAAAGGCAGCGGCAGCGGCTAAGGCAACTGCGGGAGGAGAGGAGACTGCACCAACTGCTGGGGCCCTGGATGCAGTCAAGAAGGTGCAGTAACCAAATCAGCCTCATGGTGAGGTGCTTGCTGGTGTGGATGCAACGGCTGCATGGGCAAAGGCTTCATCTGGGAGTGGTGAGGCCGATTGGGAGACGTGGCACGAGAGGTTGTGCCACATCAATGTTCCGATGCTGCAGAAGTTGGTGAAGGATGGGAGCCTGAAGGGATTGGAGGTGAAGGGGGCAGGGAAGGAGATTGGGAGCTGCCCTACATGCCTATAGACAAAATTCACGAAGTTCCCCTTCAGCAGCAGCGCGGGACCAGCCAAGGCACCGCTCGCGCTTGTGCACATGGATGTGGTGGGCCCCACGAGGGCCACTTCTCTCTCGGGCAGCCGCTACTTCTTGACCATCGTGGACGACCACACGCGTGCGGTGTGGGTCTACCCTCTCAAGACTAAGGGGGATGTGGCAGCGGCTGTTCTCAAGGAGTGGATGCCGAGAGCTCAAAGGGAGAGCGGACACAAGGTGAAAGTGATCCGCACCGACAATGGGGGAGAGTTCATTGGCAATGATTTTGAGGCGGTGCTGAAGAAGAAGGGCATTCAGCATCAGCTCACAGTGCCCTACAACCCGCAACAGAATGGCGTGGCTGAGCGGTTCAACCGGACCCTGCAGGAAGGTGCTCGCACTCTCCTTGGGCGTGCAGGGCTGCCGGATCCGTTTTGGGTGACAGCACTGCGGCTAGTCGTTGTTGTGAAGAACAGGGTACTCGCGACTGTGGGGGACAAGCATTGGATCCCCTACACCAAGTGGTATGGGAGTGCACCAGCAGTCAACATGCTGAGAGCCTACGGCTGCATGGTGGTGTTTCATGTGCCGAAGGAGAAGAGGGGAAAGCTGGAAGCTTCTGGGAGATGGGGTGTGCACTTGGGACTTGCTAAGGATCACAAGGGCTGGCTGATATGGGACTTGACCAGCCAGCAGCTGACTGTGTCGAGGGATGTGAAGTTCCTCGAGTCTCTGTACTACAAGGAGTGGAAGCAGCAGCAGCAAAAGCTTCCTACGACACCGCTGATCATTGAGGCCGATGAGGTGCAGCGGCCTTCAAGGCAGGTGGAAGTCTCCGTGTCGGGGGAGGAGATCTCTGGGGTGACTGAGGATGGGGGAGAACCTGAGGTGGAGGAGCAGCAGCAGCAGCAGCAGCAGCAGCAGCAGCAGCAGCAGCAGCAGCAGCAGCAGCAGCAGCAGCAGCAGCAGCAGCAGCAGCAGCAGCAGCAGCAGCT